TATTAGCTTATGATGATATCTTGGCATGATATTATATGTGTTGAGGTTATGTTATTTACCTTCTCATCTTCAGAATGCATGCTTATATGGATATTGTTGTCTTATAAGTTGGACTAACCTTGTTGTAAAATATTTAATTCAACGGGAAACCTAATGGGGAGGGTATTGGGTTTTCGAGCACTCTGATAATAAAAAGATGAGAAATGTGATATATGGATTGTTGGGTTGCGTTCCCTATTTGAAAGATAAAGTCTTCCGCAAGTGGTTTTCGGAACCCTTGAACGGAGCGGTTGTATTCGGACCCTAGGTGGTTTGGTGTAAGGAGGGATTCGGGCAAGGCCCTATTTTACCGTCTCTTTTGAGGCCCTGCGGTTGGCGCTACGCGGTACATAACCGTTGGTAGGCATCCGAGGTTAGTTCTGCAACAAAGCAGCAAAAGAGGGGGCATACCGAATAATTCGCGTCCGATTCTTGTGGCTAGGAGGACGAAATCTCTTTGGGTGATTTCTAGTTTGCTAAAATTTAACTTAACCCTTCATTTATTTATTGAAGTATCATGCTTTATTACTTGATGTTATAATTGTGATTGTATATTGGACTGGGAAAAAGGGGTAGGGTGTGTGTGTGTTTACTATTATTCAAAGCTCATGGCGTATCATGCCAGGTGAAGAAGCGGAACTCATAGCTGGAGACGACGAGCCTGAAATCTTTGAAGACCTTTGGCTATCCAAGAAAAAAAAAATAGAAGTTTTCTTTTTGGATGTTTTGTAAAGACTTATTTGAAGACTTAAACTTTCTTCTGGAATGTAATGTAATGGAACCATGTTTTGAGTTATATATATTGATTGTTCTATATTTATATTCTATGTAAGAACCTTATTGTTGCTTATGAGACCTTGTGTCAATACCTTTTAAGATCTGTCAAAAGGGCAGTGCGCTGTCTAAGAAAGCTGGACTTAGAAGGGAGGCTAAATTGACTCCTCCGGCGATCTGGGATCTTACTTGGTTATTGACCATAGGACTCATTAGTGACTCTCCCTTGATTGCAACCTATAGTGTAGAATCGGGGCGTCACAGACGACCTGCGAGGAGGTCGAACACTACGCTCGGGGGTTCCTCATGTTCTTGTTGGGCACTACTCTCTTCGCCAACCGGGTGAACACCGTTGGGCTCTACCTTGAAGCCCCCGAAAATATGTATTCACTTTGAAAACCCTAATGTTGAATTTTTTTAAAACAAGCCCCTCATTTACTTGAATTAATTCAAATCTTGTCGGTTAGCATTACTATTTTTTTTTTTTATCGAACTAGGAATTTCCCTAATCGGATTAGGATCCCTAACCTAATTTAATTCTACATAAGTTACATGTATTTACTCCAAGCCCTCACTCTTTATTTAAATTCTAAACTTACCCCAAATTAGTACTTGTACCTTGTACCTTGAAGTACCATGAATCTTATAATATATATATACACCTAGATGAGTGTGCCTAGAACATAAAATAATTAAAAATTAGGCCCTTCAAACTTCCCTATGGCCGGCCCTTCCTTGGAGGAGGTGAGAAATCTATTTCCTAGACACACCATCATGAGATTCTAGGAAAAAACACAACCTAGTGACCTAGACCTAGGTTGCTAATTTCAAAACTAGTTCCATTTTAACTATGTGTGGCCTAAATCAATGAACAAGCCTCCCAAATCCCTTCTATTTCCTTAGAATTCAAACAAATCTTAACCTTTCCATCCATATCCAACTAAGGGGCATTTAGGACTTTTTGCCTCAAAGGTTAGCCTATAAATACCAACACACCCCTAGCTTGCAAACACACACAACACACTCACTCACACACACATTTCGGTTAGAGAGAGGGAGGAGAGCAAGAGGGAGAAGTCTAGAGGAGAAAGAGGAGGAAGAAGAGAGCTTCTTGTGAAAAGCTTAGTAGGTAAGCCACAAACACAACCTTCTCTTTCATTTCCCTTTTCTATGCATGTTTCTAAAGGTTCTAAATAATGTTTTCAGATCTGTTATTACTAAGTTCTTATGTTGAAAATGCTAAGGGTTGAGTATTGATTACATCTCTCTTGTATTTTCCCCATTTTGGCACAAAACCATCTTCCTTTTGTGCCAATCTCTCAACTTTTCAAGAGCACTCTTTCAAACAAATTTTCTGAGTTAAACATTTGATAGTTAGCATATTTTCTTCACAAAATAAATGAAACTTTCCTTTGGTGGAGCCCCTTTTTCATAAATCTTCTTGTTTTGGGCTAAGTACCCTAGAATCTGTTTTTGCAGCCCACTTCCAGAAATTCTAGAAAAATGTAAAAAATTATTATGGACCTCTATTTTATTTCAAAACCTTCCTTAAGGTGTTAGCTTTCAAATAAAATTGGTTTCATCAAAAAACATCAAGCGGTTTTGAAGAAAATCAAATTTTTGTAACGGTCGATGGATCTGGACAGATTCTGGACAGCGCTAGAATATTCTCTAAATAACCTAAAATCTAGAAAAGCAATCCCATTTCTGAAAAATGTTCTAGAAACTAGATCAAATTCCCTACGAACCATAGGAAGGCCAAGTCTAGTAAAGGATCTAAAATAGACCTTTCATTTTAATCTATATGCGACGCTAAATCGGGAAATTTTATTATGTGTGGATGGTTTATACCCTTGAGTGCATGAGATTGCTTATTAGCTTATGATCATATCTTGGCATGATATTATATGTGTTGAGTTTATGTTATTTACCTTCTCATCTTGAGAATGCATGCTTATATGGATATTGTTGTCTTATAAGTTGGACTAACCTTGTCGTAAAATATTTTATTCAACGGGAAACCTAATGGGGAGGGTATTGGGTTTTCGAGCACTTAGATAATAAAAGGATGAGAAATGTGATATATGGATTGTTGGGATGCGTTCCCTATTTGAAAGATAAAATCTTGCGTAAGTGGTTTTCGGAACCCTTGAACGGAGCGGTTGTATTCGGACCCTAGGTGGTTTGGTGTAAGGAGGGATTCGGGCAAGGCCCTATTTTGCCGTCCCTTTTGAGGCCCTGCGGTTGGCGCTACGCGGTACATAACCGTTGGTAGGCATCCGAGGTTAGTTCTGCAACAAAGTAGCAAAAGAGGGGGCACATCGAATGATCCACGTCCGATTCTTGTGGCTGGGAGAACGAAATCTCTTTGGGGGATTTTTAGTTTGCTAACATTTAACTTAACCCTTCATTTATTTATTGAAGTATCATGCTATATTACTTGATGTTATAATTGTGATTGTATATTGGACTGGGAAAAAGGGGTAGGGTGTGTGTGTGTTTACTGGACATTTAAAGCTCACGGCGTATCATGCCAGGTGAAGAAGCGAAACTCATAGCTGGAGAGGACGAGCCCGAAATCTTTGAAGACCTTTGGCTATCCTAGAAAAAAAAAATTAAAAGTTTTCGTTTTGGATGTTTTGTAAAGACTTATTTGAAGACTTAAACTTTCTTCTGGAATTTAATGTAATGGAACCATCTTTTGAGTTATATATATTGATTGTTATGTATTTATATTCTATGTAAGAACCTTATCGTTGCATATGAGACCTTGTGTCAATACCTTTTAAGATCTATCAAAAGGGCAGTGCGCTGTCTAAGAAAGCTTGACTTAGAAGGGAGGCTAAATTGACTCCTCCGGCGATCTGGGATCTTACTTGGTTATTGACCATAGGACTCATTAGTGACTCTCCCTTGACTGCAACCTATAGTGTAGAATCGAGGCGTCACAACTTGGTATCAGAGCCTAGGTTCAACCCTTAACCGTCGCAGCCCTATACGCGACTCAAGAAGCCCATACCCCTTATCTTATTTTATTCTATCACGCTATTATAAGAAGATTGACTAATAAAAATCTTTTACACCTTAGGATGTCATTGGGAGGCTACGTCAGTACCAACTCGTGGGGTGTTTTCCGTATGCAAGGAAGGAGGGTCATGTCTGTTAGCCCCTACTTTAGCCGCATATGCTGTGAAATTACCGCTGAGGAAATGATCAAAACCGAGATACGCAAGGTGGAGACGGAATACACCCGCTATACAAGGGCGCAAAAGAGGTCTTTGGTGCGGCACCGCTTACAATTTCTGAGCCGGGCAGCAAAGAAGGCAGTTCGAATGGAGCAAGATGAACAAAAGATGGACTCCTTGATACACCGAGCTTTGACCACCATAGCACCGACTCAGGCTGAAAGCCACGAATCTTGTTATCATGGGCTAGGCGACAATCAACTGATGGATATGGAGCAGCCACCAGAACAACAAGAAGCGAACCTAACCTACCCTATGGAGATATCATCTAAACACAATCCCCCCTCACCAATGTACACCCCCCGCTCTCCGGGACAAGCCACCGACCCCGCTGATGATGAAGACCCAGAAGAAGATTTTGATTGGTCGGGAAACGAGAACTAAATCGAGGGATAGTAAGGCTAGACTTTTGTAAGACCCACTGATGGGGATCCTTAGAATAAGATAACCTGAACTTGTAATGCATAGAAGCTCTTTGAATGTAACTCCGATATAGGAGCCCTTTTGTAATGATGCCTATTATAATATATGAATGATGTGTTGATCTATGTTATTGACTGTTACTTGCTTTAGTGCACCCTAAGGAAACTGAACCTATATTTCAAATCTAAGTAGTAATATTTTCTCAGACTGGAAACCAACTCACCACGTGCCATGAATAGAATGGTGGACACGTGAGCTAACGGCTATACCGAAACCAGCAACAATGTACGAAACCGTCCCAGAAATCAACACGGACCGATCCCCGCAGAAGCTAACATCCCCAATAACCTAGGTCATCAAATTTTGGAGTAACTAGGGAAAATAAAGAATAATCGTCAGAATGAGAGGACTCGACTCTTTTCTGAGTTTCGAAAGCAAAGGCCCCCAAAGTTCACAGGCGTACCGGACCCGAAGGTAGCGGAAAATTGGCTCCAGCAGATAGAGAAAATGCTAAACACCATGGGCATAACCGAGGCCGCTGATAGAATAGCTTTGGCAGTATTCGAGCTTGATGATGAGGCTGACCATTGGTGGGAGTTAATCAAGAATACTCGTGACGTAGCGAGCCTATCATGGAACCAGTTCAAGGAACTATTCCTAAATAAATATTTCCCAAGTACTATCCGTCGAGAACGAGTCAAGGAATTCCAAAACCTGGAACAAGGGAATATGACCGTGACCCAGTATGCTGCAAGATTTGAAGAGCTAGCCCGTTATGCAACCAGAATCGTAGCAAATGATGAAGAAAAAGAAAGGATGTTCGAGTGGGGACTGGACCTTACAATCAGAGGTAGAATCCTTCCACAACGACTCCCCTCATATGTCGAGGTGCTAGAAACGGCATTAGAATCTAAAAGGGAAGTGAACGACGCCAGGAAGGCTTGGAACAAGAGAAAAGGGAGTCAGACGTCTATTAGACCTCAGAGGAACCAGAAGGGAAGCATGACCTCAAAGCCTTACTCCATACCACAACCACAACAGCAACGACAACAACCGCAGCAACAGATCCAGAGGGGAGGCTACCAACAAAGACTGGTGGGACAAATCCAGTGCTTTCATTGCCAACAATTAGGGCACAAAAAGAGCGAATGCCCCCAACACCCTCCATCGGCATACCAAGGAGGAGGTTCCGGAGCAAATGCCCAGGCGTTAGGTGGGCAGAAGCCTTGGACAAATAAGACAGGATCTATCGGGCAGCGGCACCAGAAGAGTGGAGGAACTCAGAACACCAAGACCAGTGGCAACCAGAAGGCAACTGACAGAATCTTTGCCCTGCAAGAGGAAGAGGCAGACCCGTCCGTAATTGAGGGTAATTTAGTACTATACAATTCTTGGGTGCATGTTTTATTTGATGCCAGTACATCACATTCTTTCATATCCTCTGCTTGTGCTAAGTCATTAGAACTTGTATGTGAACCCTTAGCAACGGCCTTAAGTGTAATGTCACCTATGGGAGGGTGCGTTCCGGTAGGATCAATCTGCAAGGACTGTAAGATAGGGATGACAGACCTACGCTTAACTTGCGACCTTCGTGTCATGGAAATGTCAGACTTCGATATTATTTTGGGCATGGACTGGTTGTCCGCCCGCCGAGCGGCGATCGACTGTCGCCAGAAGAAAGTGGTAGCTCATACGCAAGATGGAACACGTTTCCAGTTGAAGGGGGATAGACAAGACCCCATGGTTTCAACAAAACATCGGACGCAGTGGCGCGATCAACTTGCGAGTAGGATAGCAAGCCTAATTCTAAATGAGGAAGACCAAGGCGAAATAGAACTTCCGCGCGTAGTACGCGACTATGCAGATATATTTCCTATGGAATTACCAGGATTGCCGCCAACCTGAGAAGTAGACTTTAGCATCGAGCTACACCCTGGAACTACCCCGATATCCATGGCTCCGTATCGCATGGCACCAGCAGAACTACGAGAATTGAAGACACAGCTACAGGAATTGCTTGAGAAAGGATTCATTAGGCCAAGTACTTCGCCATGGGGAGCACCCGTGTTGTTTGCTAAAAAGAATGATGGATCGTTGAGGCTATACATCGATTATCGCCAACTCAATCGAGTCACGATTAAGAACCAGTACCCACTCTCGAGGATTGATAACCTTTTTGACCAACTTAGAGGCTCAAGGTGCTATTCAAAGATCGATCTCAGGTCAGGTTACCATCAACTACGAGTCAAGGAGGAGGATATACCAAAGACTGCCTTTCGTACTAGATATGTCCACTATGAGTTTGTAGTAATGCCCTTCGGACTAACCAACGCACCGACAGTATTCATGAGCCTAATGAATAAGATTTTTAGACCATACCTTGACCAGTTTGTAGTAGTATTCATTGATGCCATCTTGGTATATTCAAGGTCTGAAGAAGAGCATGAGCAACATTTAAGAACTGTCCTTCAAGTTCTTAGGGATAATCAGTTATATGCCAAGGCAAGTAAATGCGAGTTCTGGTTGAATGAAGTAAAGTTCTTTGGGCATGTGGTATCAGAGAATGGGATTGTGGTGGATCCAACCAAGGTGGAGGCAGTGTTGGACTGGAGGCAACCAAAGACCGTGTCAGAAATCCGCAGCTTCTTAGGATTGGCCGGCTATTACCGGAGGTTCATCCAAGATTTCTCCAAACTAGCTAAACCAATGACTCATTTGACGCAAAAGGGAGTAAAGTATAAGTGGGACGAAGCTTGCGAAAAATCCTTCCAAGAACTAAAGAAAAGGTTAACTAGTGCGCCAATCTTGACCATCCCAAAACGAGAAGAGGGGTACACTATGTATTGCGATGTGTCTAAAGAAGGATTAGGTTGCGTACTCATGCAAAATGGAAAGGTAGTCACGTATGGATCCAGGCAGTTGAAACCTCACGAGCGCAACTACCCCACACATGACTTGGAATTAGCAGCCGTAGTTTTTGCCCTAAAGCAGTGGTGACATTACATGTACGGGGAAAATTTTGAGATTTTCACAGATCACAAGAGTCTGAAGTATCTATTCACACAGAAGGACCTTAACTTGAGACAGAGACGATGGATGGTGTATCTTGAGGATTTCCAGTTCACCCTCTCATATCACCCCGGTAAAGCCAATGTAGTAGCAGATGCTCTAAGTCGCAAGAGTAGAGGGATGATGGCTAAGATCTCCGTCAAGGAATGGGATATGGTTAAGACACTCAATGAGTTCAGGATCCAAGTAGAATATCAAGATACAAGAGCATATCTTAGTGCGCAGAAGGTGATGCCTAAGTTGATGAATGACGTCATGGAGGCCCAGAAGCATGATCAAGAGGTAGCCTACATCAAGGGACGTCAGGAATCAGGAGAGCCCATGCCCGATTGGGTAATTCACCCCGATGGGAGTTTAAGATACCAAGGTAGATTATTTGTACCAAGTGACGAGTTACTTAGAGAAAAGGTACTGAAGGAATGTCATCATTCTGCATTCGCGGTACATCCAGGAGGGACTAAAATGTACCAAGATTTGAAGAGGCAGTATTGGTGGAATGGAATGAAGAAGGAAGTGGCTAAATTTGTAGCAAAATGTCTGACCTGCCAACAAGTGAAGGCGGAACATCAGAAACCAGGGGGAATGTTGCAACCTCTACCGATAGCCGAATGGAATTGGGAGTACGTAACGATAGACTTTGTGACAAGGTTGCCTAAGTCCCCTACAGGACGCGATGCTATATGGGTAATAGTGGACCGCCTCACCAAGTCAGCGCATTTCTTACCCTATAAGATGACCGATACTTTAGAGTCTATGTGCAGACTCTACATTGAGAAGATCATTCGACTACATGGAATTCCGGTATCTATTGTGTCAGATCGTGATCCACGATTCACATCTCGATTTCGGGGAAGCCAGCAGGAAGCTCTTGGTACTAAGTTATGTTTTAGCACCGCCTTTCACCCGCAGACAGATGGACAATCAGAACGCACTATCCAGACACTCGAAGATATGTTGAGAGGTTGCGCAATGGATTTTCAAGGAAGTTGGGAACGACACCTACCTCTTGTTGAATTCGCCTACAACAGCAGCTTTCAAGCTAGCATCGGTATGGCACCTTTTGAAGCATTATACGGACGACCTAGTAGATCGCCGATTTGTTGGACGGAAGTGGGTGATACAAATCTAATAGGACCCGAACTTGTTCTAGAAACTACTGACAAGGTCAAATTGATCCGACAACGGTTAAAGACTCCCCAAGACTGCCAAAAGAATTATGTAGACAGGAGGAGAAGACCATTGATGTTCGAAGTAGGCAGCCACGTGTTCCTAAAGGTGCAACCCATGCGTGGAGTCGTACGTTTTGGGAGAAAGGGGAAGTTGTTGCCACGATATATTGGACCCTTTGAGATAGTGGGCGAAGTAGCATATAGATTAGCTCTACCCCCGTAGTTAGTAGGGATACACAACGTCTTCCATGCATCTATGTTGAGAAAATACATCGTTGACCCGACACACGTGCTCAAATGGGAAGAAATCAGTTTTGACAAACATGTTACGTTTAAAGAAAGACCGGTACCAATACAAGATCGTCGAGAAAAGAACTTTAGAGGCAAGACGGTTCACTTGGTAAAAGTGTTATGGCGTCATCGGGGAATTGAGGAATCTACTTGGGAACGCCAGGATTGGGTGAAGGCAAACTACCCCGAGCTTTTCGAAGACAGCGTGTAGTTGAATTTCGGGGACGAAATTGTTTTAAGGGGGATAGGTTGTGAAGCTCCCGAAAATATGTATTCACTTTGAAAACCCTAATGTTGAATTTTTTTAAAACAAGCCCCTCATTTACTTGAATTAATTCAAATCTTGTCGGTTAGCATTATTATTATTTTTTTATTTTTATCGAAGCACGAATTTCCCTAATCGGATTAGGATCCCTAACCTAATTTAATTCTACATAAGTTACATGTATTTACTCCAAGCCCTCACTCTTTATTTAAATTCTAAACTTACCCCAAATTAGTACTTGTACCTTGTACCTTGAAGTACCATTAATCTTGTTATATATATATATATATATATATACACCTAGAGGAATGTGCCTAGAACATAAAATAATTAAAAATTAGGCCCTTCACACTTCCCTATGGCCAGCCCTTCCTTGGAGGAGCTGAGAAATCTATTTCCAAGACACACCATCATGAGATTCTAGGAAAAAACACAACCTAGTGACCTAGACCTAGGTTGCTAATTTCAAAACTAGTTCCATTTTAACTATGTGTGGCCTAAATCAATGAACAAGCCTCCGAAATCCCTTCTATTTCCTTAGAATTCAAACAAATCTTAACCTTTCCATCCATATCCAACTAAGGGGCATTCAGGACTTTTTGCCTCAAAGGTTTGCCTATAAATACCAACACACCCCTAGCTTGCAAACACACACAACATACTCACTCACACACACATTTCAGTTAGAGAGAGGGAGGAGAGCAAGAGGGAGAAGTCTAGAGGAGGAAGAAGTGAGCTTCTTGTGAAAAGCTTAGTAGGTAAGCCACAAACACAACCTTCTCTTTCATTTCCCTTTTCTATGCATGTTTCTAAAGGTTCTAAATAATGTTTTCAGATCTGTTATTACTAAGTTCTTATGTTGAAAATGCTAAGGGTTGAGTATTGATTACATCTCTCTTGTATTTTCCCCATTTTGGCACAAAACCATCTTCCTTTTGTGCCAATCTCTCAACTTTTCAAGAGCACTCTTTCAAACAAATTTTCTGAGTCAAACATGTGATAGTTAGCATATTTTCTTCACAAAAGAAATGAAACTTTCCCCTGGTGGAACCCCCTTTTCATAGATCTTCTTGTTTTGGGCAATTCACCTTAGAACCTATTTTTTTTAGCCCACTTTCAAAAATTCCAGAAAAATGTATGAAATTATTCTGAACCCCTATTTTATGTCAAAACCTTCCTCGAGAAGTTATATTTCAACTAAAATTGGTTTCACCAAAAAACATTGAGCGGTTTGCAAGAAAATCAAGTTTTTTGTAACAGTTGACGAATCTGGGCAGATTCTGGACAGATTGTGGACAACACTAAAATATTTTCTAAATAACTTAGAATCTGGAAGAGCAACCCCAATTCTGAAAAATGTTCTAGAAACTAGATTGAATCCTCTACAAACCATAGGAAGGCCAAGCCCGGCAAAGGATCTAAAATAGCTCTCTCATTTTAATCCTTATGCGATACTAAATCTGGAAACTTTGTTAGGTGTGGATGTGTTGTACCTTTGAGTTCATGAGAATGTTTGTAGCTTATAATCATATCTTGACCTGATAATATATGTGTTGTGGTCATGTTATTTTATTCAGACTCTTTGCGATGGTTTGATTGGTGAGACAAGGTTGGGTCCGGATGGGACATTCAGGAAGATAAAACTTTTTTTGGAAGGATGAGGTTGGATTCAGGAGATAAAACCTTTTTCTTTTCGCTGTCCCTTTTGAGGCCCTGCGGTTGGCGCTACGCGGTATATAACTGTTGGTAGGCATCCGAGGTTAGTTCTGCAACAAAGCAGCAAAAGAGGGGGCATACCGAATAATCCGCATCCGATTCTTGTGGCTAGGAGGACGAAATCTCTTTGGGGGATTTCTAGTTTGCTAACATTTAACTTAACCCTTCATTTATTTATTGAAGTATCATGCTTTATTACTTGATGTTATAATTGTGATTGTATATTGGACTGGGAAAAAGGGGTAGGGTGTGTGTGTGTTTACTGGACATTTAAAGCTCACGGCGTATCATGCTAGGTGAAGAAGCGAAACTCATAGCTGGAGACGACGAGCCCGAAATCTTTGAAGACCTTTGGCTATCCAAGAAAAAAAAAATAGAAGTTTTCTTTTTGGATG